GGGATATCTTTTATGCCTTTATACTCTTCCTTTTTACCTTCTACCACAATACCAAGAATACAGGAATAGGCAATATAAATATTCATTGAGTGGAATCAATAATTTTAAAATATAATATACTACATATTATATTTTTAAATATAATATAATTATATTTATATAATTATATATAATTATATTTAAAGATAATGTAATATTATATTTTAAAATATAATATAATTTTAAATATAAAATAATTTAAAAATATAATATATCAATTATTAACCTCAAGTATTTATATTTTAAAACTACTTCATAAAAGAAAAATTTAAGAGAGAGAATCAGCCCTGACCTGTGTGACTTCTTTGCTGGGCATCATCCCAAAAGTGAAAAGTCGCTGGTTCCATTTTTAGTCAGTGCACATACCTGGATTCCAAGTTAGGTCCCCAGATGTGGCACAGGTAAAGGCAGCCGATCAATGTTTCTCTGTCATATCAATATTTCTCTCCCTCTCTTCTCCCTCCCCTCCCCTCTCTCTAAAAATAAATAACTAAAATCTTTTTAAAATAACATAAAAGAGATAATCAGTTAAAGAACAATTTGGCAACATTCCAAACACTTAAACACAGCCAACATTTTGGTTTCTATTCCTAAATTCTTAGTTTAAAAACTAATTGTACCCGTTGTGTGTAAAATTTTGTGTTCTGTTTTTGTTTTTTGCTTATTATAGTTAATAATCCCTTCTGTGTTGTTATGATGAGCTTTTACTTGTAAGCTGTATAATGGTGCAGAGGTCAGTTTGAGTCTCTAGGACAGTATCATGGGTAATTTTTTGTGTCAGTTTGACTGGACCAAGGGGTGCCCATATTAAACATTATTTCTGGATGTGTTGGTGAGGGTGTTTCCACATGAGAATAGCATTTGAATCAGTAGACTCAGTAAAGTAGACTGCACTCCCTAATGTGGATAGGCATCATCCAATCTGCTGATGGCCCGAATAGAACACAAAGTCAGAGGAAGGAGAAATTCAAACCTGGCTGACTGAGGAGAGACATCTGTGTTCTTATGTTCTTGGACTGGGATTTATACCGTCCGCTCCGATGGTCCTCCAGCTTTCAGACAGCACATCATGGGACTCCTTGGCCTTCATAATCATGTGACCCAATTCCTTTATATTATATATATGAAAAAATGTAAATGTATTTGATGTTTAAAATTTGCATTACTTTACTATTGAAGATGAATATTTTTATGTTTATTGAGCAACTGTATTTTCTTTTTCATAAATTTTTTTACAGTTTTTGCCCATTTATCTCTTGGACCCTTCATTTTAATGAATGCATTACAATGGCAACTTATTAAAAATTTTGTAAAATAAAATAAAATTTTGTTATTTTTTCTCAAAGTAGATGTCGTCAAGTTAAGGAAATGAGTAGCCAAATAAAAGCAAATTTTTATGATCACAGAAAGAAAAGTACAGGCCGAAATAAGTGTCCGTTCAAATATTGAATGATGCCATCTAGTGGAAAATTGATTTTATCTTGTCTCTCTGAATCAGAGCTTCCCAAATTTCAATGGCCCGGAATTTGGTATGAAATCTTGTTAGAATATATATTCTAGCACTGACCCATGTGGCTGATTGGTTGGGTGTCGTCCCGCAAAGTGAAAGCCTCCAGTTTGTCCCCCGTCAGGCTGCCTGCCTGGTTTGCCAGTTCAGTTCCTGGACCCGATGTGCAGGAGAGGCAACCAGTGGGTGTCTCTCTCACATCAATGTTTCTCTCCCTCTCTTTCTCCTTCCTTCCTCTCTCTCTCAAAGTAAATAAATAAAATCTTTACAAAGGACTTAAAAATATATTCTAGTCTCTCCTTTGCCTGGAGATTTCTAACTCACTTAAGAGCCCGAGAGTGTGTTTCAACATTATCCACATTGGAAACTCCAAAAATTCCATATCAGTTAAAATTAAGGTGTCCATTGGTACATTGTGTTTTCCTTTTTTTGTGGATGAAGAAGGAGCCACCTACTAACCCTGATAAGCTCAGGGAAGGCCAGAATGAAAGAGCCTTGCAAACTCAGAGACTGAAAAGCGACCACATAGGGTGATCTGAATGTAAAAACCCCTAAATATAAGCAGGCCATGGTGGTTAGTGGCCATTTTTTTAGGCCTATAGCATTCTTGACCAAGGTCAATCTTTACCTTAAGTAAGTCTGTCTATTGTTTTCTTTGCATCTAAGATAGTACACTTTTGAAATGTCAGAGTAATCCCCCCTTTCCAGACCCTTAAGAGTATAGCCTCCCATCAGAGCATGAGACCACAAAATACTTCCTTTTTATCTTATTGCCCATATACCACCTGTATGTGCTATAAATGTTAATTATTAACTACCCTGTTTCACCAATGCAAAAGAAGTATGTAGCTCTCCATTTACCTTTTATCCAAAGCAGAGAATTCCCTGCTTTGCTTTTCCTCAGCTTCCTAATCTACCACCAATGAATTTCATGTAACCTGCCCCCCCATATGTCTCCTCCTCTGATTCTAACATATAAAATAAGTCGTAAAACATCCATTCCCCACAGCATTTTCTCAATTTGTTGAGATTTTGCTTCCTGGCAATTGTTGTCAATTTGGCTCAAATAAACCCTTCTAAGACTTTTTCTTGGGCTGGGTGTTATTTTGTCAACATTTTTTATTAGAATTTTCACCAGCTTTACCACAAGAAGTAATTTTGCTGCTTGCTGCTAACATACATTTAAAAGTGCAGTCTGTGCAAGCCTATGTTAACTGTTTTCTGTGTATTATTTGGTTTGCTCCTCTCAATGACTCTAATATGGTAGGTACTATTATTATACCAAAGACAGACCTTGGAGGTATTTCAGGTTCAGTCCCAGACCACTGTAATAAAGCAAATATCACAATAAAGTAAGTCATAATATTTTTGCTGGTCTTGCCTTCAGTTTGTAAAAAACACAGTATCTGAATTATAATAAAGAGAAGCATAATAAAAAGAGGAATGCTTGAATTTTACAGATGATAACATTGAGGTAGAGAAGTTTAGTATCTTCCCCAAGGTTACACAGCTAATAAGGTACCTTAGCCCGGAGCCCACCATGTTATTACATGTGTGCACAGGGCTCTGAGACGGGAAAGGTAACAGTCACACCAACAGTAAAAAAGGACTAATGATTTTACAGTTCTATACTATCATCTATATTCAGCTTAGTAAACTACATACAGAAATTAGGGACATTTTGCAACTTAATATTTACATTATTTGGATTAATACGTTACACACTCAGATGTTCCTTACATATTGGGTGTAGATTTTTGGTACTATAAATGGATTTCAATACTTTGCTGTTACTCTCCATTTTGTCCCAATACTCACATGAACTAAACTGATATGCTTCAAACCTTCTATGTAGAGTCAGACTGAAACTAATTTATTTATAACTGGTTAGAAAACCCAGTTGATAGGGATCTGTTAGCCAGGCCAGGCAGCTGAGGCTAATGAAGCCAGCCTCACGCATGGGTGCCTACTCCTACCCCACAGGGGCCAAGGCCCTAGGCCTCCCTGGCCTGGGCTGAGCCCACCCATTCTGGCAGAAGTCAAGCTCTGCTTCCTCAGAGCTCACTGAAACTTATCTTTCCTATTGTCCACTCCCTCTGTTGGGCCCAAAGTATCAACTAACTACAAACTAAAAGATTAATTCCTGCCCTAGTAGGAAATAATGTGAAAGTAACATTGGAACTTTACAATAGTCTTTCTTGAGCCTATATCCCTGTCAATTGCTTTATGCTCAAATCTCTTGAGCATTAGTAAACAAAGAGCACCAAATAATGTAGTGGATTTTTAAAAATAGAGTGAACAAACAATATACAAATTTCTCAATTTATTTAGACATTGCTGAGTGGAAGACAAATTTGAAAATATAATCTTATATCTGTATCTGTATATCCCTCACTCCCATCCCTACCTCCCAGGAGCTCAAAATCAGAAATGGTCAAGCCCAACGATACAAATAAGACTCAAATCAAAATTCAGCAAAACAAAGGGAAAACATAGTGACTATCAAAAAAATATTCTAGTATATTGAACTGGGAAGAATAGGAAAAACAAAATAATAGTAACTTTATTTGAGCATTAATTTGTCCCAGGCACGTTTCTAAACCCTCTTTAAATGCATTGTCATATTTTAATACCCGCAGGGGGATTTCTCAAAGTGGGAAATTATTAATCTTATACAGATAAGGAAATTGTGTAGTTAAGTCACTTGCTGAAGTCATACAGCTAGTAAGCTGTGGACCTGGAACCAAGCTGTTAGGCCCGAGAGCCCAAGCTCTCTTACCTGCTACAGGGCGAAAGATCAAACCTGTATCACTTCCTTGGACAGTAAGTGACAAACATGGGGCGAAAAATCCACGATGGATTACCCCTTTAACTAGTGGACATTTGCCTAATTATACAGTCATTTAGACTCTTGCTGTCTCCACACTCATTTAAAGGAGTAAATTAATTGTACTTTATTGTGCAACTGAATTCAAAGTGAGTCCCACAGGATAAGAGTATGGCCATCTTAGAACGTTAAGAGGACTGAGATATTCTTTTCAGGTTCTTCAATTTTTTTAAATGGAAGAAGAAAAAGAAAAAAGCCAAACAAGATGATAGGAACTGTGGTAAAGATTTACCTTAAACAAATGAATGCTTTTAACACACCCACTATGCCAACAGTGTTTGAAACCTCATTTTGTAGATAACTACGTAGGTCTCAGTCTAACACTGTATGGCTCTGAAGTCAGGCCTCTGGCTTCCTGGAAGCCGGCGATAAGGCCTGGTGAAAACTCAAGGCACCCCCATTAAAGAATTGCTTTTGTTTGCCCTGTGTAAACGCGATAGAACAGCCAGCAGAGGACACTGGCTGCAAACGGCGCTCTAATTTCCATGTGGTGCCCCGGGAAAAGCAGTCGGGTCAGGAACGCCCTCGGAACCAAAGCGCTAGGTCCCACCAGTTGGGGCTGCGTTTGCAGAGCACCGAGGGGCGGGGCTTGGCCGGCTGGCTGGACGCACAGGGATCAGGTTGAGTGGCTGGGCCTGGTGGAGGGCAGTGAGGGGCAGTGGCTGGCAGCCCACCATGCTGAGTGCAGCGTGCGGCAGCCTCGCCTTAGCGTTGCGCAGTACACGCGCGCTGCCGTCTGCGGTCGCCCGTAGGTGCCTTGGCGGGTCAGGGTCGCAGCGGTCGGCTGACCAGAGCGAGAGGACTAAGGAACTGCCCCGCGCCTTCGACCTGGCGCTGCTGGAGTTCTTGGTGTGCCCACTTTCCAAGAAGCCGCTCAGGTGAGCTTCGTCAGCTGCGGCTTCCCTGTAGCGGCTTCCTGTTGCGGGAGGAGGCAGGTGGGCTGCGCGGCCGCTTACACCCATTGGGGAGTTTTTTTAGGTTAGTCGGGGTATTCACTGCTGCCATTTTCTGGGGGCGCGTCTGCTCCCACGCTCCTCTCTGTGTGGCGGGAGGGGTGGGAGAAGGCCGCAGGGAAGCTGAGCCCCAGGCCTCCCAAATCAAACCACTGACCGGCAGAGACAGATTGAAGCATTTACCGACTTGCCCCTGGCTGTGCATTACAACCACCGGGGGACCTTTTTAAAAATGGCGATTCCCGGACAGCACCCCAGGTGGCCGAAACCGAAGGTCTAGGGGCGGGGCCTGAGCCATACCCATCTCTTTCAAAGGAGTCTACGTGATTTTAATGTATAGCCAGGTTTACGCAGTTGTGAGATTTAGGACTAGTCCAAGGCATTAAGGTTTTTAAGCCAAGATGATGAAGAATACTGTAATATCCTGCAGGTCCTTGTGAAAATGCCCTGTACAACTAATACCTGCAGAACTCGAGCGTGTAAGCTTCATGTGCTCCTCTCCGGCTTTTCGTTCTGGACTAGCTGTTTTTTGTAAAGGCCTCTATCACCTTAACTTATAGTCCTTAGCATAGATAGCTCTCAGTTCCAGGCTACCAAAACTGAACGTTTACAAAACGAATATTGCAGATCCGATATGCTAAATACCACAGTGTTATGTGTGGTACCATCTTTGGGTGGTAGGTTGCTAGTAATTTTAATTTTCATCTTTTTGCATTTCCCTTTCTATATTTTTTTCATACTGAGCCTATTAAATTTTCTTAAACATTGAAATTATCATTCGTCCTGCCTTTTAGTTAATTGTGTAACTAGCTCACTGCGGATTTGCAGTTTTCCAGTTTTCTCATTTCTGCCTTTTTATCTTTCTCAGACTTTTTTTTTCCAGTGGTTTCCTTCTGATGGATCAGTTAGTTTGGTGTCAGGTATTCTAAAATGAGGAAGTTGAATTTTTCTCTAGTATCTTTCCAGTAGTAAATTAACTGGGTTAGTTTTGGGGGTGACCAGAGTAATGAAGAACTAGTTGGATTGTAAGGGGAACCTTTTTCTGAATTTTTTAAAATTAAGACGTAAGTTCAGAATAAAGTGAAAAAACTGGGAGAACTGACTAAAATAGGAACAATTAGAAATTCATTTTCTAAAAGAAATGATTCAGTTGGCTATCACTGCTTTTAGAATTAAAAGTTCAATTCTGCTTTTCTGAAATTAACTCTGTATCAAGAATTGGATAAGTGGTGTTATTTATTGAATATCAAGCTCTTCCAAGCATTTTATTTTTCACAGTTCATTTTTTCTTTTTCCTTCCCTCAGATATGAAGCATCGACAAATGAATTGATTAATGAAGAGTTGGGAATAGCCTATCCAATTATTGATGGGATTCCTAATATGATACCTCAGGCAGCTAGGATGACACATCAGAACAAGAAGGAAGAAGATATGGAGCAGCATTAAATCATAATTAAAAACTACATTTTAAAAACTAAATCTTCTTAATACTGTCTACCTTTTTAAAAAGTCAGGGTGGCAAGTAATAAGTGGGAGAGAAGAATGTTTCTGTCTCTTCCTACATTGACTGTCCTTATTCCATTGGTCTCTTTAGCAGGACTGTTCTACTCGGCCTCTATGGAAGAAAACTTCCCGCAGGGCTGCACGAGCACAGCCAGCCTCTGCTTTTACAGCCTGCTCTTGCCCATTACCATACCAGTGTATGTGTTCTTCCACCTTTGGACTTGGATGGGTATTAAACTCTTCAGGCATAATTAATGCAACCAGAGCCAAGATGGTATATACATTAATAATAAGTCTTGAGCATCTGTCTCTGAAAGCTCAACTACATGGACATACTGGAAACCAACTTAATTTTCAGGAAAAGATCCTATACCTTGCTTCTGTCAAAGGTTTAGAGCTATGGGAGGCTTAAGCTGCAGAAACTTCTTTAGTATACTTTGGTTCTGCTCTTATTTATTGAAAGTTCTAATTCATAACTGCTGTATCAGAAGCAATTCAACACTGTGGCTTGTTGGAAATGAACAACTCTAACCATCATCTAATGACTTTATTTCATTTCCCTTTCATCTAAAAGTTAATAATTTGAAATTTTATGTTTTAGAAACTCTTTGGTGAAGTCACATGTTACAGATAACTGAAATAATTCCAAAGGACCTGTGTTGCAGTAGTTGTAAAGAAATGCATTGGAACTACTGTGATATAAAACTATAATAAAATGGAAATTTCATGAACTTGCAAAAGTTCTGAGTTTGTAAAGTGACCTTCATTTCTTTGGTATCGAGTGCTTACATTAGTAATAATAATAAAAGGTGTTGACACTTTTCCATAAAACATTTTGCAGGGTTTTGTTTTTGGTCATAAGAGTGTGGTTCTAAGGAGGGAACATGTAAAAATATTGTAAATTTTAAAGTGTAGGCTATTATTAGACAGGTACTTATTACCCAAATAGAATACTGTATTTTGCCACATATAATGCGCTCTCATGTGTAATGCATACCCATGTTTTTGGCCCAAACTTTCAGGAAAAAATCTTTCAAATTTTTTAATTCAGATTTTTAATTTATATTTGGAAACAAAATGATACACATATTCCAGGGTATTATTTTGCATATGGATACCGTTATTGCTTTCTAGCATTACACTTTTAATGCATAAGCATAAGTAGAAGACTTAAAAACATTTATATAGATAATAGAATTATTCTACCCATATATAATGGTCATCCTTATTTTGCTCTAGAAAATTTGGTCAAAAGTGTGTATTATACGTGGCAAAATATGGAAATTTCCCAGGAAAGTATTTGCCTTTGGGTAGAGGTGGGGTATTATAGAAATCTAGCTGATTGTGTCCTCTTGAGCTTAGAGCTATGTTTTGAATCATATATCAGTTTATTTTCTTGACTTAGGAAGCCAGTTTAGCACTATGGACATGAGCATTTGACATATCAATAGTTCACAATTTTCCAGAGCTTTCAACAAGAATGACTGAGGTTAATATAACCATTTCAGAGGTATAACAAATATTTTTTGTAAAGATTTGTTTTTAGAGAGAGGAAGGTGGGGAAAAGGAGAGGAAGAGAAACAGCAATGTGTGGTTGCCTCTTGAGCGCCCCCTAATGGGGACCTGGCCTGAAACTTAGGCATGTGCCCTAGACTTGGAATCAAATCCACGACCCTTTGGTTTCCAGGCTGGCACTCGATCTGCTGAGCCACAACAGGGCTAACAAATATTTCAGTAGTTACCTATAGAAACCCAAGAATTGAATATACTAAACTTCTTACTAAAATCTTAAAAGTAGTTGAACAGAAGCTTTAGATAGATTCTTATCAAAAAATTAGAATGTGATGTTAAATTTTGTATTGCATTAATTTCATATTGCAGTACAAATCACATTTTATAAATTTATGATAATCTACAAATAACCTAGAATCCTATAGAGATTCCTATCATTTCCTGAAATTACTATTAATTTACCCTAAATCTCCCTGTGGTCAGTGTAAATGAAACAACTTTGCTGATAAACATTGTATTCTGAAAAGTATTTCAAGCTTTTGCAAATTCAGCATTTTATCAGGAAACAACAAGTATACCCCTACAGGAGTTCAGTATTAACCCATCCCCTCACTAATAGAATTCGTCCAGCAATCACATAGTACAAACTGTATACTAGGTAGTTTTAAGCATATTACACATAATCGTACAATCTAAAGGGTAGGGTAGGTAATAGCACCATTTTATAGATGAGGGAACTGAAGCACAAAGAAATTGAGTGACCCAGGGTAACAGCAATAACTGGACTGAAATTGAAATATGGCAATGTGGCTTCAGTCTAGCTTCCTAATCACTAGACAGCGTTTATTTTGAGAACATTCATCTTTTATAAGAAACAATTAGGAATCAAAATTCTTGGATTCCAATACTTATTCAAGGCTAATGCCCTTACTGTTTTCCTAAAAACACTTAACTGTTTTACCTCTATTCTAGCACTCTGCACTGTAATTGCCTTTTTCTGTCTCATGTAGACAGTAAATTTCTCAACATTTTTTTGTCTAATGCTTAGCACAGAGCAGGCAGTAAGCCTGAAACTTAGAGGGTGTACTCATGGCTCTGACAAGTCTTATAATTTTAGGCAAGTTCATTAACATCTGTGAACCTCATCTTAAGGGCTAGAAATCCTTCCCCTGCTGCTTTTATATACTTGTGGGGAACAAATTAAATTACATGTGAAAGCATTTTGTAAAGAAGTGCTTTCTAAAGTGCTTTCTAATTTAGACTAAGCAATAATAACTACTGAAATGGCAGCACAAGGAACCCCGCGGACCAGTTTCCCAGGACACAACCTAACGTGAAAATTCTAAATAAGACAACCATGTACAGTTTCTGGAAATTGTTCTAAGGGCATACAGCCAAATGAGGAACCAAGACAATCTAAAACTCGACAAGTAGAGTTTGTGGCATTTGAACTATCACTCATCTTCCCTCCTCTCAGCTTAGAGTGAGAGACACTCCAGGAGGGTGCAGCCAAGAAGACAGGCTCCCTCTTCCTGTCTCCTAGTTGAGAGTTATGTATCTTTTCAGGAGGTGCAGGCTGCCAGCAGAGGAAAGGAAATTACATGATTATAAAAGTAAATGGATATTTTCTCTTTTTCTGAATTGATTTGTAGAGCATCTGTATAAAACAATATGTACAAAATTGTATTTTGGGGTCTATATCATTGCTATTAACAGAACAAAGGAAATGGATGGGAACAAAGCTGTACTGGAGTAAGGAAATGACACCAGATGGTTAACTTGAATTCACAGCAACAAATGAAAAGCAGAAAAGGCATGTAAGATTAATATAACAATGTTATAAATATATACTTGTTCTCCTTACCTCAGTTTGAGACAATAAATAAATAATAATTATAAGAAAGTATTGTTGGGCAGTAACATGTAGGTGAAATATGCATGACAAAGCACAAAAAGGGGGGTAACTGCCTAGAAGTAATATTTGTTATTTCACTGGCACTCTTAAAAATTTTATTTATATTTTTTATTTTTAAATATATTTTATTGATTATACTATTACAGTTGTCCCATTTTCCCACCTTTATTCCCCTCCACCCTGCATACCTCTCCTACCCACATTCCCCTCCTTAGTTCATCTCCATGGGTCCTACATATAAGTTCTTTGGCTTCTCCATTTCCCATACTATTCTTAACCTCCCCCTATTTTGTACCTACCAATTATACTTCTTATTTCCTGTACCTTTCCCTCCATTCTCCCCTCCCCATCCCCACTGATAACCCTCCATGCCATCTCTATTTCTAGGAATCCGTTCCTATTCTAGTTGTTTGCTTAGTTCATTTTTTAGTTCATTTTTTTAGGTTCAGTTGTTGATAGTTGTTTGTTGTCATTTTACTGTTTATATTTTTGATCTTCATTTTTTAGACTATTTTTAGACAGAGGGGAAGGGAAGAAAGAGAGGGAGAGAGACATCAATGTGTGGTTGCCTCTCGTGCCCTCTATGGAGCAACTGGCCTGCAACCCAGGCATGTGCCCTGACTGCGAATCAACCCACAACCCTTTGGTTTGCAGGCTGGTGCTCAATCCACTGAGCCACACACACCAGCTAGGGCTCACTGGCACTCTTAATAGATTTGCAGTTTTTAAAATTTCTCAGGCCCTCATACACTGCTGGTGAGAATATAAAATGCTACACCTTCTTTGGTAAACAGGTGATCCCCCCAAAAGTTACAGAGTTACGATATGACCTAGCAATTCCTCTCCTCTAAGTATATGATACTCAAGGAAAATTTAGTCCACATGAAAACTTGTGTGCAAATGTTCGCAGCAGCAGCAGCATTAGTAAGAGCCAAAACCAAGCAAAATGTCCAAGTGATGAATGGATAAATAAAATGTTGCATAAATACAAGAAATAGTATTTGGCAAAAAATAAGAATGAAATACTGTTGTTGGCATGCTACAACCTAGATGAATCTTGAAAACATGCTAAGTGCAAGAAGCCAGTTACAGAAAAATCACATGGTTAACTTTATTTATATGAAACGTTCATCATAGACAAATCTATAAACAGTAGATTGGTGGTTGCATAGGGCTGGGGGTGAAGGGGAGATTGTGTTATGGCTGAAGAGTATAGGGTCTCTGGGGAGATGAAAATGTTCTGAAATTGTAGCAATCATGGCACAATTCTGAGTATACTAAATCCACTAAGTTGTATACTTTTGGGCTGAATTATGTGCTATGTGAATTATATATCAATAAAGCTGTTACTGCCCCCCCCCCAAAAAAAAAGCTTATCTAAATGTCCAGTGTATGGCACAGCACAGTGGTCCCAAGCTACTTGCTGGAAGTCAAGTGCTAGTTAGAGGCATGGCCAAAGGTAGAATTAGCTCTTAAGTCTTCTAAATTTTGTCAGATATAACACCCTTTCTTGAAAATTCCCCATGTTTTCTGGTGATCTTCCAAGTTGAGTTCTTCACTAGCAAATCATCCTGGCTTCCAACCATTAATGGGGACTCTTCTTTCCTAGCTTCTTCACATAGCTCATGCCACACACACATTGACTTCACTATAAACCCACCACAGAAATGCTTATTCTTTCAAATTGTGACTCTTTCCCATTCCCCCTCCCCAATCATTAGCTGACTTCATAATGATAGGAGACCTCTTGATTCCTTAGAGCAGGGGTGTCTAAGTCATTTTCACCAGGAGCCACATCAGCCTCGCACTTGTCTTCAAAGGGCCGGATGTAATTTTAGGACTCTATAAACGTAAACTACTCCTTAACAGTCACAAGAGAGCTCAGTGCTGCTACCAGGTAGAAACAAGGTGGAGGGCTGGATTCAGCTTGCAGGTCTTATGTTTGCTGCCTGTGCCTTAGAGCCTCTTAACAAGACTATCTTCCCTGACACTGACAGGGATCATCTTTAATCATCTCGTAAATAGCATCCTTCCCACTAATTTTGTAAGTGACAATTTCCCACACTGAGGGAGGGAGCAAAAAGGACTTGTCATGATCTACTTGCTCTTCATTTTCTTCCAGTCCTGCAAAGCAAGCTTTTAAGGATGATTCTTTGAACTTCAGACTCTGAATCTTTAAGATGAAAAGGGTGATACCTACTTTCATATCTGGCAGAAGTTTTAAGTGAGGTAGAAAATATGAAGTCACTTAACATAGCCAAGAAATAATAGTGGATTATCACTATGTGTAGTTGTGGGGAGAAGGGTCTATCT